ATGTTGGCTGTTTTCTCAGGCTAGCGCAGTTGAAGACTCGAGTAACCCAATTCAAGAGAACAACGAAACCTTCTCGCACCCTTGGAGTCCCACTTTTAGTCCGATGGCCTGAACAACGATACAGCTGATTGGTTGAATTAAATTGACTTTTAAGTCTGGTAGGCTACTGAAGCGGACAGCGCGGTGGACCCTGAAGTCGAGGCTGAATCAGGGTCTTCACCGCTGATGACGTCACTTTGTTCAAGCTGTGATGCCAAGGCTGCATCCAGAGCCGCTTTGGACTCGCTTAGCGATGGCTCTTGGGATTGGAGGACATCTGTTAAAACAGAAAGCACCAAAATTCATTTTCTCATTGGAGACTACCCCTGAAAAATTAGCTTATAATTACCTATTAAGATTAAAACTCACAAGGTACCTATACTTCCCCTCACACAACATTTTACCCTAAGTGAGAAATTACTTTGAAACGTTGCGTTAAGGGAGGGGTGGGTAAGTTGTTTTCCAGAATCTTATGCTGATCCGGATTCTTGGAAACTGCTCACCTACCCCTCTCCTCACACAACATTTTGCCCGAAGTGAGAAATTACGTTTAGACGTGGGGTTTTGGAACGGGTGGGTGAGCACTTTCCCAGAATCTCAACACTGCTGCAGAAAAATCAGGACGTCGAAGGTGCAATTTCCTTTCTGTTTTCTTTCTGTTGAGTTCTCTTCTTCATCCCAACCAAAGTTCTTAACTTGTAAAAAAGTCCATAACCAGTTTCAGCGCGATCAACAAAATTATTCCAGTGCGCTTTTGTTTGACGTTTTTCTTTTCCATGTGGGGCATCCCATAAGCAATTTCAGCGTGGGATGCTCGTTAAGGCTCCGATCTGATTCTAACGAAAAGTATATGTTTTTCTTTTCCCTGCTACAAGTAGTCTTCTCTCAGAGATAACATTACATTACATTACGTTACGTTGCAAGGCCACAATTCTCCTGTGTGCAATCGTCCAAGACGCCAAAGCGAAAAACTTGAAGACTTTGCCTGAACTTTATTTCCTTACCTGACTCACCCTCAGTCGCCTCCTGGCCATTATTGTGAATTTCATTCTCGTCGCCATTTCCTTCCTGGACTTTCTCCTGCTCACCTGACACCTGAATTCCCAGCCCTCCCCCCTGCGCAGGTACCGTGACAATTGTAAATCCCTCGTGCGTTCTTCTCGCAGTGGTGGTCACGCCATCAAGGGAAGTGACAACCACTGTCTCTGCTGGTTGTCCAGACCCTGTCACGGCCTCCAGGGATGTCACGACAACTGTCTGCGGTGCTGACACGACCTGTACGGAAGACACGTCCAGCTCATGTCCTGAGCTGTCAACAAGTGTTGAACTTAACTGCTGGGCTCCCTGTGAGAGGGTAACGGCGTGTTCTAGATCCCCTTGGACTTGTATTCCAGCGTCTGATGCTATGGCAACAGGAATGGCAATGTGACCGGCCACATGACCTCCTTCAGCCATTTGCTGCTGGATATCCGCTAGGCTTCCGTCCATGGCTTGAAGCGCGGCTACCGATGCTTCATCTGCTATAACCACAGGCACACCATGCGGGAAGGCTTGGCTACCTTGAATTGTGTCAGTGTAGTCCAATCGCTGGCGCTTGGTGGTGGGTTCGTCTTGTCCAGCGTCGTAATCAGCTGCAGTTTTTTAAAAATACATAAAAACGTACATTAAAAATCAAATTGCTATCCTGCAGTTACAGTAATAATCGACAAAAGGACTTTATATGGATGCCTATAAGGCCTCGTTCATACGTATTCGGATATAACGGAGATATTTTCTCCGTTTTCAAAAAGTACGAATCTACTTGAGCGTATTCAAATCGATTTTGCCCATCCACCGAAAACGCTAAAGCGATGCTAGAATGATAGCGTCCCTTACAGGGTGTACGCTATATGATGTATGACATTATCGTATCCAAAAACCTCCTTTTCGTCCGTCTACACGAAAACGACAAACGTTTTCAAAAATCTCCACTCTGGGGACCTGCGTCAGTTTTGGTACCCGAAAACGAGCCGCGAGGCGCGAGTCGCCAGAAACGAGGGCGTAGGCTTTTTTGCTATGTTATTGTTTTGCAAACGCTCTCGCTAAGATAAGAACCCGACGGATTTTAAGAGAAAAGGCAGACTGCAAGCAGTTTAACTCATGATTTATCTTAAATAACATTCCTTACCTTCGCTCAGGTGATCCACATCCGACATATCGCAGTGAGCTGTCCGCTTGTGGTTGGCCAGTGTAGATGTTTGTCTGTAGGTCTTGTTACAGATGTTACACGTGTATGGTTTGTTGTGGGTATGGACTACATGGTGCTTGTATAGACTGGAGTATTCTGTGAAGCGCTTGTTACAGCCAATCACTTGGCAAATATATGGCCGCTCCCCTGAATGAAAAATCAACATTGCACAACAATTTTAGCCACAAACGAACAGCCTTTAGGCCATTACATTTACATTCACGAACAATGAAATTTTTAGATTTTGCGTTTTTGCGTAAAATGGTGCAGTTTTACCAAGGGCCTGTTCACTAATACTATTTTCCGAACCAAATGTTACATAGGCAATCAAGACAATGCGGGAAAATCCCATGCTTTAATGAACAAAACAGCGCTGAACCACACGCTACCAAGAGACATTTAAGTAACAATTTCTCCGCTACCAAGAGACATTTAAGGCGATATAGGCATCGTCTTGTTTGGTTGCACAAATTAATGACACTTTTGGTGACATAAATTATCACTTTTCAACAGTGGTTTGTTCGTCGGCTGAATAGTGGAGTAGACAATTTCACAACTCCAGAACCTGAATTTAAAAGCAAATATACATACCTGTATGTATTCTTGAATGATTCTTGAAGTTGGTAGCACTAGCAAACGACCGCCCGCATCCCTCGTGTTCACACACGTATGGTCGTTCCCCCGTGTGAGTTCTCATGTGTACTTTTCTGATGTTGGACGTGGTGAAACAGCGGCCACACCCAGCATATGGACACAAAAAGGGTCTCTCACCTGGAAACAAGATTTATAAAATGATGACGGTTTGCAAAACGGATACCGATTTTTCTGACTTCTTGTTCCTTTCAGCAACAATACAGTCAAATCTCTCCACTTCAGCCTTGAGCGAGGAGTAAAGACTTACTTCGGGTACGTCGTAAAAAAGAGACCGTTTTAAAACCCTTTCTCTCCTAGCCTGAATGATGGAGTCTGGTAAGGTGGTCCTAACTTTTGAGAAAAATCCTATGGTGTTACCATTCAAATGAAACCTCTTCAACAATACTTTCACATGGTACTATTTATTTAGTATGTAGTTCTAACTTTTGAGTCTGTGGATGAAATCCTATGGTGTTACCAATCAAATGAAACCTCTTTAGCAGTACTTTCACATGGTGCTATTTATTTAGTATGTAGTTCTAACTTTTGAGTCTGTGAACAGTACTTTCAAACAATAATGTCTGTTGTCAGCATTTTACAAAATGAAATTTGGAAATTTTGTTGAAATGTGGCTTTAGCCACACTTTTGGGAGGAAAAGGGTCAAAAGAGGTTAAGAGGAATAAAAACTAACCTGATGAGACCGCAACCGCTTTATAATAGACGCCAATTTAGTTTTAGTAATTACGGAAAACTATTTCTGGACTTAGTAAGAGTCGAAAATGGCAAAACAATAGAAACACACGTTTAACTGTGCGACCATCTGCTGCACCTGGTTGTTCAAACGTTGGATGACGCTATCCACCAGATAAGTCACTATCTAATGGATAATTATTAGGGGAGATTTATCCAGTGGATAGCGTTATTAGAAGAGATTTATCCAGTGGATAGCGTTATTAGGAGAGATTTATTCAGTGAATAGCGTTATTAGGAGAGATTTATCCAGTGAATAGCGTTATTAGGAGAGATTTATCCAGTGGATAGCGTTATCCACCTTTTGAACAACTAGAGCTCTTCAGCATTTCTTTGCCGATTTGTCGACATTAAGCGGGCGGCTGTGTTCACACTATAGCGCAAAGTTTTTCGTGTCGAAACGAAAGTGTATCCGGTATACCTGTAGTAAGAACGCGTCCGACATGTGACACTCCGTTTAAGATATTTGAGAGGTGCATTTTCGTTCCGTTACAGTAATCGCGCCGAAATCACCGTTCTTATGTCGGAACAGAGGCGGCCTATCCTGTATGGCTTTCGTGCCGGCGCAAATAAGCTATCCGGTAGAGTGTGGACATAATCTAAATTTTATAATGCGTTTTACTGACCTGTATGTGTGCGTACGTGTTTTTGTAAATCTCCTGAAGTCTTGAATGCCTTGCCACACCCTTCTTGAGGGCATTTGTAAGGTTTCTCTCCTGTATGTGTACGCGTGTGGCTCTTTAGTCCATAACCTGTTGCAAAGGCCTTGTCACAGCCGTCAACTCTACATTTAAAAGGTTTCTCTCCAGTGTGCGCTCTTTCATGTACCTGCAAAAATACGATCGGACCTCTGCCTTATAAGATTGCTGGTAAAAAGTAAAATATACCAAAAGGGGAACTCATGTTGGGAGACAAATGGAGACAAGTTACCAGGGCTTTTAAGAGGCGGGGCCCCGGGATTTCCCCCGGGTACTAGGAACGGCTACTTTCATAGGAAAATAGAAAAAATAGAAAAAGGGAAATCCCTAGCTTTCGTAGTTTGATTCCCCACCTTCTTGTTTTATTCTCCCTGGCAACTTGAAACCTTAGTGACAACCCTGAGTTACGATTTTATAATTTAACTAAACGCGAACGAACGATTGCAGTAATTCAGGGAAGTTTTATCATCTACTAAAAATCTAAAATTCATACAACTTCCATCATTAAACTTTTGCATGGTCTTAGCTAATTTGCAAGTAAGTACTTTTCCAAACAAAGCAGATCGTCAATGCCTTAATGATGTTCACTGTTTTTTTTCTTATTTACACGCGTGTACTTCTCGTGTATTTTACGCCCAATATGGAAGATTTACATGCATGAAACGTGTCTAATGCTGTAATTGTCGTGGCCTGCTGCAGCACATTAACTCCAAGGGTTCTGGAAGGGCATTTTTAACGTCTTAAAACTGTTCCCACAAAGGGGCCATTTTAGCGCCTATATATTCATTTTCTGCTTAAAATCGTCTAAAACTGACAGAAAAAAATGATTTTCAAGAAATCGAAATAAAATCCCACCTCCTTTTTAAAGAAGACTCTAGTGACCAGTGCAGTGTCTCCAGTGTGAGATTGTGAGGCCTCACAATCGTAGGCCTTATTGGGGGGAGGGGGGGGGGGGTATTAACTTCCGCACTTATTGCCTACGCTACAGCCGTTATTAGAGGACGCTCAGGAAACGAGTGCGCGGGGCACCCGAGGGGAGAGGGTACCACTGAGGGGCTTAAAGCCAATAGTAACCCTTACTGTCGTCAGGTTACAGTACTGGCGACTTAAAAAAGTATTTAAAAAAATGTAAAATTATCTCTGCTTCGATTTTAATATGTACTGGTGGGCTGGGGGGTTGGTGTGCCAGGTATGAGGGTGTGTGGTTGATGTGGTTTGCGGTGTGGGGGGGGGGGGGGGGGAGGGTATTAACTTCAGCACTTATTGCCTACGCTACAGCCGTTATTAGAGGACGCTAAGGCAACGAGTGCGCGGGGCACCCGAGGGGAGAGGTTACCACTGAGTGTCTTACAGCCAATAGTACCCCTGACTGTCGTCAGGTTACAGTACTGGAGACTGATCACCGAAAACCTAAATCGAAAAGAATCTTGAAATATTGCTCACACGAGACATCGTTGCCTATTTAGAGATACCTTCACCAACGTTAAATTATGGCGGCAAGCTACATGGACGGTAGATTTTCATTAAACAAACCTTTAAATGGTGTGCCGTTGTGTAAACCTTTCCACAACCTTCGTGATCACAACGGTATGGTTTTTCTCCTGAATGAGTTCTAACATGTTTTGTCAAGTCGCTCTGAGTTATAAAAGCCTTCTCACAGCCATCCTCTTCACATCTAAATGTGTCTCCTGTGTGGCTTCGTCCATGTGCCTTCAGCCGATAAGATGTTGAAAACTGCTTACCACATCCATCGATCCCGCAATGGTATATCTTTTTTGTTGACCCCTAGTTCATGAAAAAAAAGAACTCCATAAGGTATCACCCCATAAAAGTGTTTCTCATTCGTAGAAGCACAAGTGAGAACTGCAGTTTTTTCATAATTGTGAGATAAGCAATGTAATGGCCACCTCTGACATTTGCCATGGGTGACACAGGACCTCGACTCTCTTAAAAGGAGCACTGGAGCAGGACGTTGTGGGTTCAAACCACTTCCGAGTTCCAAAAACCCTCACTTTCAAAATGAGGCCAAGCGCACAACCTTTCTTGTGAAAATGAGTGTTATTTGCATGAGAATGAAAAATCGTCCCCATACACTTCACCTCGTTTTGATACAGAGGCCCGGTGGAACTCGGAAATGGCCCATTCAGAGGACCAAGCCCCAGCTGGACAGGGCTACGATCCAGTGGATAAATATTCAGGAAACCAATCATTGCGCTACCCAGTAAATAATGATTTATCCGTTGGATGGCATTATCCACCTTTCGAACAACTGGTGCCAGACCAAAACTCAAGGTCATAAATACCATATTGGTACTTAATTTCGCGGGTCTTTAATTTCGAGTTTTTGGCGATTGTGGAAAAATCGCAACATTAAAGACCCGCGAATAAAACTCCCCTCGAAATTTAAACCCTCGAAATTACCCATGTAGAAAACTCAATTCACAGAAGAAGACGTGTAACATTTAAATAACAACAACATATACTGAACAGGATATATGTGTCTACAAATACCGACAAATTATTAGCTGTTTTACTGGTTCATTTTTGTTCAGTTTCATTTTTTCTACTTTCCGTTGTAAATAAAGGTAGACCTAGACCTTGGCGTGGCTTGGATGTCTACGTAATATAGCAGTAGGGGACAAAAAACTAATGTTCCTAACACTTTCGAGCTAAATACATTGACACTCAAATAAAGTGCGTTTTTATACCTCTTGATCTGCTGCACTACCATCCTCCTGTAAAACAAACAGAGTCGAGTGGTCCTCGAGAGGAATCCCTGTGGTATCCACTGTCTCAGTTGGACTCACCATAGAGGGGTTTGACTCTGATATAGTTGTCATGGAAACCGTCGAATTGGTGTCAAAAGATGTTGGTTCCGATGTGATGACATAGCTGGTACCATCACTGGCTTGGTGAACATATGTTGCTGAAACAAAAATTATCAATGTTATGAAATGCAAAAGCTCTTGCGTTTGAACGCTATAATTTGTTCTTAGATTACTTTGCATAAAGTGACTTGACGAGCATTATTTTGCAGCTCTACCCTCCTTAAAATGAGCAACTTGTCCACACAAGATGAGTTTGTCTATACATAAGCAGAATGGTCAGCAGGTCAGACTGGCAATCCCATGGTCCCAGATTCAACCTCTGCTCCGGCTTCTACCTCGATTTGTTTCTCAAAGTTCAAATCCTTAGCCGAATTTGTCAATGGCCAACTAGTTGCCTCCTGTCAGTTGGGGTTTTAAATTCTGTTACATTCTATTTCTATTTACTCGAGTGGGGTGCCCATAAAATAGGTGGAAAAGTTGCGTGCAATCCACAATAAACAAAACTTATTTACCTGCCAAAACGCTAAGTTCCTTTTAAGTTACAACTTTTTTAGTTTTACCTTCACAAAAACATTCTTCCTATGTACAAAGTCATATACAGTTGAACCTGGTTAATGTGGACACCAAGGGGACATGCCATGGTGTCCGTATTATCTTGGTGTCCATATTAAGCGGGCTCACTGAAAAAACATCACGGACACATGTTGTATTGATATAAAGACTGCAGCAGACAAAAAGGAAGAAGGGTACATGTACTGTAGGTATAATGACTGCAGCAAAAAGACAAGAAAGTGAAACTTGTGTGGTAGGAAGCAGAGAACTTTAACTTTTCTCGCTATTTTGCTACTGTTTTTTAAGGTGATATAATCGTATTAACTCCATGGAAATCTGTCTTTATTTGAACAGGGCTCAGTCTCTTCAATATATTATAACAGCACATGATTGTGACAAGAAAAATAGACAGTAAGCCAATAACCAGTGCCCTTAAAGCAGGGTTGACAACATCCTCTGGGACCCAGGTGCAGCTAGTCAGGAGGGACAATAGAATGTTCGTGGTGAAAGTTTACTGTAAAATTGATACCATCTTACAGTAAACTTTAAAAACGAACATTCTATCGTCCCGACTAGCTACCCCTGGATCTCCCAGGATGGGTTTACAATGGTGTCCATATTAAGTTATTTAAGCAGGCTTATTTTAGAGAAAATATAAAAATTATGAGCTTTTTGTTGGGACAAATGAGACTGTTCATTATACATGTATGCAGGTGTCCATATTAAGCGGGTGTGCGTAGAGTGGGGTTCCACTATATATGCAGTACATAGATTCAAGTACAAAGTGTATATGTTGTCATAAGATTGCACTGGGACAGGCAGGGCCAGGTGGAGGCAGAGGTCAATGTTAAATTTACAGAAAGGGCTACAGTTTCAGACATGACTGCCCAGCAGTTGGCCAGTTACCATCTAGCGTCTACTTATGACACACCAGTTACCAAAGCAACATGTATGTTTAGCTTTGGATTTGACTTAAGCTTTGATTACCTTCAAATGTACTCCCTGCGGGAAGTGTTTGTACTGTTCCACCAGGAAGCTCTGTCAGAGTCACAGCCTGAGGCTCAAGGAACACAGTTCCACCAGGTGTTGAACTAACCACCACTGCTGACTGGACAAGATCACCTGGAGGCAGAGTTGTCTGCACAGACTGATAGCCTTCATTACCTACAAACAACAGTCAAAAACGCCACTGGTCATCTCAAAGTCTACAAGGCATTGTTCTGTGAATGATAAGGATACACATGGAAACTTCAATATCTTAATGTGGCATATGGGACAGTTGAACAACTGATTGCCAAAACAACTGTGATGGAAGCATGAAAAAATACAAGTCAACGTAGCTGTACAGTAAAGTCCCTGTTGGGGAATGGCCAAATGACCACTTACATGTCATACAGATTGCAACTGCTTAATACAGGCTTACCAAACCTACGAGTTTATAGATAAAGACAAAGTGAAAATATATCCATTGACTTTAATGTGTTTCTACAGGGCTGTGCTCTAGCAGCGCCTGGTGGCCCGTGGCGACTAACTTTGCCTCCGGGCAACTAGAAAATCTCAGATTTTTCACACAAATCATATGCTGGGCACCTTAGATTTAACAGTTTCAGAGCACTGGACTCCCATCAACTTTTCTTAGAGCACAGCCTTGTTTCTACCTCCTCTTGTGCCAAAAGGAAAGGAAAAAATAATTCATTGGGACCACAGAAAAGGTGATGCAACTGCTTAATACACGTCAGTTTTACAGTAATTTAAGAGAGATGATTTTAAGGACCCAAAAAAGTTACCACTTTATAAAGGATGACTACTTAAAGCAGGCCAGCTTTATAATATAGGTTCTTGACTGTATTCACAAAGTAAATTCCTTAGAACCTTTTTATAGTGATGTACCACCAATCTAAGTAGGAGTGAGGGGTTTATAAGAACAAAATTTCTTATTAGTACCATAACCCCAAGTGGCCTTGTGTTTAATTCCACCCAATACCTGTACATTCTTTATCATTTTAATAAGCTGTGGCTGCAAGATAGATCTACCTTCATGGTGATCCACTGTTGCCATAATTGTTGCTGTAGCAGCATCTTGTTCACCTTGCTGAGCAACTAAAATTGAATCATCTTTGACTTCAACATCGTCCTCACTCTACAAAATACCAAAGGCTCTTGTGAATTGTCATTGACATTAATTCAAAACTGGATTGGATCAGATTAGATCAACCCTGTGTGACCCAGTACTTTTATAACCTTTTGTCATTTTATAAGTTACAGGTCGGGTTGATCGGATCTGTAGTCATGAGGCCCTTCTATGAAAACACACCTAATATTGCTTTATTACCCAAGTTTGATGACTTTCTAAGATGGCTGACCATTAAACTAGTTCTTTTTAAGTTTTAAGGACCATGACAAAATATCCAGCCATCATGACCTTGTGCTTGGTCAATAATGCATGCATACAAAATTTATCACAGTAGAGATGCCATAAAACCTTGATAAGCACAGATTGGATCAACCCTATAACTCACTATGTAGGAATTGAGTTACAGTAGTAAAAGGGGTTGATCTAAATTTTTATCTTTTCATTAAATTTTTATCTTTTTATAATGTACATTGTAAAATTATTTCAATATTTTATTGATTTTATGTTTATAAAGGGCCACAGGTTTATCAATTTAAATCAGAAAACTGTCATGTGTTTACCCTCTTTAAATAAAGGCGTCATCCCCTTCACTTCAAATCTCTTCCAGTCCGATCAAGACTTTGACATTACAGCCTATTAAATCTACATGGTCTACTAGCATTACAATCCCAGATATTCTGGGGCAAATTAAATCGCCCACACTTTCTCTCAAGGCAATAACTGTACAATTCAAACTAAGCTGGCATACTTACCATAACAATGCCTTTGTTTTCATTTCCATGTTGTGGTAACACATCATCAGTAACCATAGCAATAGAGCCTGGGTTTGTAGACACACTAGAAGGCTCCAGTTTTGTAGGGCTTGTAAACACTTGCTGTTGCGCCAGCAGTAGACCTATCACCTCTTGTTCTGTTGAATTGATTGGCTGACCAGCAATATGACTAACAGCCACTGGAGCAATATCATTGGGTTCTAAGAAAAGCAAGTCACAATGATAACTACATTCAGCAGTTTTCTACCATATAAATTTTAGATTTAATACAGTGAAACCAGTGTTTATTGGACACACCTGGGTCTCTGTCATCTCACGCTAAGGTCTCTTCAAAGACTGTGTCTGCATAATACAGGTTTGTTTTACAGAAAATACATGTGTATGTAAAGAAAAGGTTTGGATTACTGGATTTTGGGGCAAAACAGCCTACAAAATTCCACTATAAACTTATTATCTTCAACAAGGTGTTTCTCTGGAGCAGAATCCTTCAATAGTATGTAGACATTGGCAGTGTGTGGTCTAACAATGTGCTACTAACCATCTTCTTTAAAACTGTATGCAACATGAAGAAAAAATCGTTGTTGTGAAAGAAGGTCTCTTGTCTTAATCAGGGTTCACAATGAATGGGTTTTTCTTAAACAGGGTCAGGATGTGAAGCCTCAGCTTCCCACTCCTAAGCTTTTCTTAGTTTTCTAGTTATTCAGGGTACCAGCTTAACATGAGGTCCACTAGGTACTAATTCATTGCACACCTTTGACCACTGATATGCTACCAAAGTCATTGCTTTCATAAAAGACTAAACCCATCTATGAAGGACTGCAGAACATTACAAGCAAGAAAACTTACTATAATTAAACAAGAGTATACCAGCATACCGTATTTATTCGAATAAGTGCCCAACTCGAATAAGCGTCAGCCTAGAATAAGTGCCTACCCCCACCGGGCCTCCCTCCCCCTCAAACTCAAACTCAAATAAATGCCCACCCCCACTCCACCCCCTTCCTCAGGTCCCTCCAACCCCAAAAAGCATTAAATAAATACTAATAAGGGACTTGCCCGAAGACGGAGTTTTCTTCAGAGTATTTTACAGAAACCTTGCTTTGTTACATCTTTGCGTTTTATTATCACCATTTATTGTTGTTGTTGCAAAATAAACATAGTACCCTTGCTGAAAATGGTGAAAATTTAATAAGCACTCAGCCTCGAATAAGCGCCCACCTCGAATAAGCCCCCACTCTCAAGGTCCAAAATTTAATAAGCGCCCAGGGTGGTTAATCAAATAAATACGGTAGCCTAAAACCACCCAGTTTTGTCTCAGTTTTCAGAGGAACTCTTAATATAAGTTGGTAAGAGAGACATGTGTGTGAACACAAATTGTTTTGTGTTCAGCTGGCATAGATCAACAATTGCATCAGTAAAAATCTAATCTACCAATAGTCATACCTTCCAAATGGACCTCACTTTCCTCTTTAGATTCCCTTCCATCCAGATCAGATTCCATTTCTTTCCGAATGTTTTCTGTTAGAATATAACCACTGTATATATATAATATGGAAGTCAACAGCAGATGGAGATTGAAAAGAAAAGTTATCAAACAGGATTCTTCTGAGTGGTAAGAACATAAGATATCTCAGATTTAAAATTATTTTTTTATTGGTGAGTGGGAAAATGCTTGTGAATGAGTGGGCTCACTCACAACCTAATTTTTGTTAATTACAGGGAATATGAATTCCTTCAATAGTTTTCCCATCACCCTTATCTAACAGCGATCATCTTTTGCTCTTTTGAGGTTGTGGGAAAATTGCTTGGCACATTTTGTTAATAAAATATGGTGCTTCATGTGTCAAATTAACACTGTACTGTTTTAAGTCCTTGGAAAGTTCACCCACAACCACATACATACAGTATATGTGGGCAAGTACCTCAGCAAAATAAAGTACCGGGGGAAACAGTGATTGGAACAATAGTAAAAATAACAGAAAAAAAGTACTTTCAAAATGTTCACTTTGAGATTATGCAACCGCGTTTATTGTTTATGTATAATAATAACAAATAATTATATTTACTAGAAAAATCAAATTATTTTAAATGAAATAAGACGGAATAAATAATGCAAACGAGAAAAAGAGCCTCTTGCTATCTACAGTATAATTAATTGTTTCGTAAAAGCATATTTAGTACTTGACAAATTAAAGTTTATTGAATGGCCGTCAAATAATAGTTAACCACAGCACTTTCATATGTACATTCTCGGGTATGATTTGCATTTTAAGACCAAAAAAACAGGGGCACCCAACGACAATTTTCGGAAAAATATCTGTTCGGAAGACGATTTGAGATCTAGAATTTTCGGAACATTTGTTGTAAAATTTCTTGCTTCCATGCCTCTCCTAGGATTTTCGAACAAATGAAAAATGGTATACTTGCCCATTTTTTAACTAATTTTTACCCTAAAAAGTTCACCAGAATTTTTGGGAGCCTATTTTCTGGCTAAAATTTTCGAAAAGGTAAGTTTTGATCCCTATAATTTTCGGATCACTAGACTTTCAGCTAAGAAATCCGAACAGATGAAAAATTTTTAGGGGATAAAAATATGCCTATGTCTACCGTTTAAATACTAAAATACGTTTAATAATGCTATGTTTAAGTGGTTTTGAACTGTATTCTCGTTGGGTGCCCCCGAAAAAAAATACAAAGTAAAAACATTCATGTAACATGTCGTTTTCTACTGTTTAAGTGAAACACCACCTCACGAGCATCTTACCAGTGCTACCAGAAACAAAGCTTGAGTAAAATTGTACATTAACTAACGTTTTGTGCGATAAGCATGAATGTTTTTGGCACCTACATTAAAAGGAATTAACATGTTAAGCACTGCAGTGACATCAAGCATGCAGTACACAAAAAAATTCCAAATTCCGCAAAGGGTGCCTAAACGCATTTGTACGGAATTGAGCACAAGATCACGACGTATAAAGAACATGCCGTACACAGCAAAAACAATGCGACAACAGGGAAATGTAGTTGGGTTTGAACATTGCCCCAAGATAACTTGTGTGGTAGGAAGCAGAGAACTTTAACTTTTCTCGCTATTTTGCTACTGTTTTTTAAGGTGATATAATCGTATTAACTCCATGGAAATCTGTCTTTATTTGAACAGGGCTCAGTCTCTTCAATATAATACAACAGCACATGATTGTGACAAGAAAAATAGACAGTAAGCCAATAACCAGTGCCCTTAAAGCAGGGTTGACAACATCCTTCGGGACCCAGGTGCAGCTAGTCAGGAGGGACAATAGAATGTTCGTAGCGAAAGTTTACTGTAAAATCGATACCATCTTACATTAAACTTTCAAAACGAACATTCTATCTTCCCGACTAGCTACCCCTGGATCTCCAAGGATGGGTTTACAATGGTGTCCATATTAAGTCACTTAAGCAGGTTTATTTTAGAGAAAATACATGAGCTTTTTGTTGGGACAAATGAGACTGTTCATTATACACGTATGCAGGTGTCCATATTAAGCGGGTGTTTATAGAGTGGGGTTCCACTGTATATGCAGTACATAGATTCAAGTACAAAATGTAGATGTTGTCATTAGATTGCACTGGGACAGGCGGGGCGAGGTGGGGGCAGAGGTCAATGTTAAATTTACAGACAGGGCTACAGTTTCAGACATGACTGCCCAGCAGTTGGCCTGTTACCATCTAGTGTCTACTTATGACACACGAGTTACCAAAGCAACATGTATGTTTAGCTTTGGATTTGACTTAAGCTTTGATTACCTTCAAATGTGCTCCCAGCAGGAAGTGTTTGTACTGTTCCACCAGGAAGCTCTGTCAGAGTCACAGCCTGAGGCTCAAGGAACACAGTTCCACCAGGTGTTGAGCTAACCACCACTGCTGACTGGACAAGATCACCTGGAGGCAAAGTTGTCTGCACAGACTGATAGCCTTCATTACCTACAAACAACAGTCAAAAACGCCACTGGTCACCTCAAAGTCTACAAGGCATTGTTCTGTGAATGATAAGGATACACATGGAAACTTCAGTATCTTCATGTGGCATATGGGACAGTTGAACAACTGTGATGGAAATGTGAAAAAATACAAGTCAATGTAGCTGTAACTGTAGTCAAACCCATATTAAGCGGTCCTCGTTGGGGAATGGCCAAATGACCACTTACATGTCATACAGATTGCAATTTATTAATTATTACTCTTAATACTAAGAGTTTATAGATATTAAAGACAAAGTGAAATATCCATTGACTTCAAAGTGTTTCTTAATTCTACCTCTTCTTGTGCCAAAAGAAAGAAAAAATAACTCATTGGGACCACGGAAAAGGTGATGCAACTGCTTATACACGTCAGTTTTACAGTAATTTAAGAGAAATCATTTTCAGGACCTAAAAAAGTGACCACTTTATAGAGGATGATCACTTAAAGTAGGCCAGCTTTATAATATAGGTTTGACTGTATTCACAAAGTAAATTCCTTGGTTCATTATAGTGATGTACCACCAATCCAAGTAGGAGTGAGGGGTTTATAAGAACAAAATTTCTCATTAATACCATAACCCCAAGTGACCTACCAATACCTACACATTCTTTAACATTTTAATAAGCTGTGGCTGCAAGATAGATCTACCTTCATGGTGATCCACTGTTGCCATAATAGTTGCTGTAGCAGCATCTTGTTCACCTTGCTGAGCAACTAAAATTGAATCATCTTTGACATCAACATCATCCTCACTCTACAAAATACCAAAGGCTCTTGTGAATAAATGTCATTGATCTAAGTAAAACTGGATTGGATCAGAATTAGATCAACCCGTTCCCTTTATAACCTTTTGTCATTTTATAAATTACAGGTCGGTTGATCTGATCTGTAGTCATGAGGCCCTTCTATGAAAAGACACCTAATATTGCTTTATTACCCAAAATAGATGACTTTCTAAGATGGCTGACCATTAAACTAGTTCTTTTTGAGTTTTAAGGACCATGACAAAATATCCAGCCATCATGACCTTGTGCTTGGTAAATAATGCATGCATACCAAATTTATCACAGTAGAGATGCCATAAAACCTTGATAAGCACAGATTGGATCAACCCCTATAACTCACTATGTAGGAATTGAGTTACAGTAGTAAAAGGGGTTGATCTAAATTTTTATCTTTTCATTAAATTTTTATCTTTTTATAATTAACATTGTAAAATTATTTCAATATTTTATTGATTTTATGTTTATAAAGGGCCACAGGTTTATCAATTTAAATCAGAAAACTGTCACGTGTTTACCCTCTTTAAATAAAGGCGTCACTTCACTTCACATCTCTTCCAGTCCGATCAAGACTTTGACATTACAGCCTATTAAATCTACATGGTCTACTAGCATTACAATCCCAGATATTCTGGGGCAAATTAAATCGCCCACACTTTCTCTCAAGGCAATAACTGTACAATTCAAACTAAGCTGGCATACTTACCATTACAATGCCTTTGTTTTCATTTCCATGTTGTGGTAACACATCATCAGTAACCATAGCAATAGAGCCTGGGTTTGTAGACACACTAGAAGGCTCCAGTTTTGTAGGGCTTGTAAACACTTGCTGTTGTGCCAGCAATAGACCTATCACCTCTTGTTCTGTTGAATTGATTGGCTGACCAGCAATATGACTAACAGCCACTGGAGCAATATCATTGGGTTCTAAGAAAAGCAAGTCACAATGATAACTACATTCAGCAGTTTTCTACCATATAAATTTTAGATTTAATACAGTGAAACCTGTGTTTATTGGACACACCTGGGTCTCTGTCATCTCCTGCTAAGGTCACTTAAAAGACTGCGTCTGTATAATACAGGTTAGTTTTACAGAAAATACATGTGTATGTAAAGAAAAGGTTTGGATTACTGGATTTTGGGGCAAAACAGCCAACAAAATTCCACTATAAACTTATTATCTTCAACAAGGTGTTTCTCTGGAGCAGAATCTTTCAATAGTATGTAAACATTGGCAGTGTGTGGTCTAATGATGTGCTACTAACCATCTTCTTTAAAACTGTATGCAACATGAAGAAAAAATCGTTGTTGCAAAAGAAGGTCTCTTGTCTTAATCAGGGTTCAGAATGAATGGGTTTTTCTTAAACAGGGTCAGGGTGTGAAGCCTCAGCTTCCCACTCCTAAGCTTTTCTTAGTTTTCTAGTTATTTAGGGTACCAGCTTAACATGAGGTCCACTAGGTACTAATTCATTGCACACCTTTGACCACTGATATGCTACCAAAGTCATTGCTTTAAGTCATTGCTTTCATAAAAGACTAAACCCATCTATGAAGGACTGCAGAACACTCCAAGCAAGAAAACTTACTATAATTAAACAAGAATATACCAGTATACTGTATTTATTCGAATAAGTGCCCAACTCAAATAAGCGCCCAGGCTAGAATAAGCGCCTACCCCCACCGGGCCTCCCTCCTCCTCAAACTCAAACTCAAATAAATGCCCACCCCCACTCCGCCCCCTTTCTCAGGTCCCTCCAACCCCAAAAAACATTAAATAAATACTAATAAGGGACTTGCCCGAAGACGGAGTTTTCTTCAGAGTATTTTACAGAAACCTTGCTTTGTTACATCTTCGCGTTTTATTATTACCATTTATTGTGTTGTTGCAAAATAAACATAGTACGTTTGCTGAAAATGGTGAAAATTTAATAAGCACCCAGCCTCGAATAAGCGCCCACCTCGAACAAGCCTCCACTCTCAAGGTCCAAAATTTAATAAGCGCCCAGGGCGGTTAATCGAATAAATTCAGTAGCCTAAAACCACCCAGTTATGTCTAAGTTTTCAGAGGAACTCTTAATATAAGTTGGTAAGAGAGACATGTGTGTGAACACAAATTGTTTTGTGTTCAGCTGGCATAGATCGACAATTGCATCAGTAAAAATCTAATCTACCGATAGTCATACCTTCCAAATGGACCTCACTTTCCTCTTTAGATTCCCTTCCATCCAGATCAGATTCCATTTCTTTCCAAATGTTTTCTGTTAGAATATAACCACTGTATATATATAATATGGAAGTCAACAGCAGATGGAGATTGAAAAGAAAAGTAATCAAACAGGATTCTTCTGAGTGGTAAGAACATAAGATATCTCAGATTTAAAATGATTTTTTTATGGTTGAGTGGGAAAATGCTTGTGAACGAGTGGGCTCACTCACAACCTAATTTTTGTTAATTACAGGGAATATGAATTCCTTCAATAGTTTTCCCATCACCCTTATCTAACAGCAATCATCTTTTACTCTTTTGAGGTTGTGGGGAAATTGCTTGGCATATATTGTTAATAAAATATGGTGCTTCATGTGTCAAATTAACACTGTACTGTTTTAAGTCCTTGGAAATTCACGCACAACCACATACATACAGTATATGTGGGCAAGTACCCGAGCAAAATAAAGTAGCGGGGGAAACAGTGATTGGAACAATAGTAAAAATAACAGAAAAAAAGTACTTTCAAAATGTTCACTAATAACAGTTATCCACAGCACTTTCATATGTGCATTCTTGGGTATGATTTGCATTTTAAGACCAATAAAAATACAAATTAAAAACATTCATGTAACATGTCGTTTTTCTGCTGTTTAAGTGAAACACCACCTCACGAGCATCTTACCAGTGCTACCAGAAACAAAGCTTGAGTAAAATTGTACATTTACTAACGTTTTGTGCGATAAGCATGAATGTTTTTGGCACCTACATGAAAAGGAATTAACATGTTAAGCACTGCAGTGACATCAAGCATACAGTACACAAAAAAATTCCAAACTCCGCAAAGGGTGCCTAAACGCATTTGTACGGAATTGAGCACAAGATCACGACGTATAAAGAACATGCCGTACACAGCAAAAACAATGCGACAACAGGGAAATGTAGTTGGGTTTGAACATTGCCCCAAGAAATCATGAGGCAATCTTAAGACACTGTAACTCTTATTTGGCTACAAAGGTTGCCACCGAACTTGTCACCTATGTGTTTTTGTGGGCAAAGATTAAGCTTATGACCAACGATTTCGTGGCTCCTTTAATTTGGTAACTCAATTTCCACCACGTTCTTTGTGTGCAAGGGTGCACTTCGATCGATTGCAAGTCAAATGCAAGACGTCCTTGTCACGCTTTTATTAACACAACTACATGTACATGTACTACACACTGAATGAATTCACTCAGTTTTCACCAATGATACGAAAACTCAAAACAGATTTGTGGCTTTGGTCGTTTTTTCAATACTACGAACAAACCGCGCTACTGCGAACAACATGGAAGGAGAAGGGGTTATCGAAACCAAACGCATGGATACTGAACTCAAAGACAGCTAATTCCCCGACCTCTGATTCAATACTAGCACTATGTTTTTCACAATCCCGCGTTCACGTTTCATCACATAACGAGAGAAAACATCAGGCCTTTACACGCAGGACAAACCGAGCATCGAAGACGTCCATCTTTGTACGACAAACAAAGTGGCCTTTCGGGCGAAAGACTCAAGGAGATCGAAAAAATACTCGCGTCCGCCATTGTTGTTCGCTTTAGCGCAGGTCTGACATTCGAGCGCTCAAGTTCTTCACTTTAAAGTCACAAAATACTCAGAAACGCAGTAGCCATTTCTTCTACAAACAAGCAGAAACTTCAAATACCTCAAGTCTTGGTTAAACGCAATGCACGACGGGTTTCTATCTGTGTTGAACGCTGGGAAGTAAAGACACTTCCCAACAGCACCTTCATTAAACACGTACAACCAACGGCGGGAGGACGCGTCTTTCGGGTTCCGAGTATTTACCGACAACTTCCGAATTTATAACGATCCTTAACGAAGCATACCGAACTAATATAAGTGATGACGTCATAAAAAATGAAATTTCTGAAATTATGGGATTTGCCAATATATTCTGAACAGAAGTATATAACCCCTGCAAGAACAATGTCCGAGAGGCCTGCTTGCCAAAAATGACCATACAAACCCTTCTAAATTTTTTTTGGGTCGACCCCCAAAAAAATTTACAAGGGTTTGTATGGAGTTTTCTAAGCATAACTGGGCTACGATCTCAGAGACATTTTGCCCCGAAATGCTCATTTTTGGCAAGTAGGCCTCTTCGACATTGTTCTTTCAGAATATATTGACAAATCCCATAATTTCAGAAATTTATTTTTATGACGTCACACTTTAGTACTCTATGCCAAATATGAACATATTTATTTAATCATTACAGGGGGATTGGCTAGAACATGCTCACTTATGGCAGTTCGGGGAAAACTTTGGTGGCCTCGCCGCCGAAATTTTTCTCTACTAATACAAATGGCATGAGTGAACCTGCTCACAGACTACTCTGAAGATAAAAAAGCGATCTCGGCTTCACGCGTTTGCGCAACCTCGTCCCCAGGGCTTCTCCATAAGAGAATAGGGAGCTTAAGCAACGACGACGGCGACGTCAACGAGGACGGCAAAAAAGCAATAGGTTTAGATTGGCAAAACAAACACTCTGCACGTGCACCACGCTTTTTTTTTAACATTTCTTTGCCGTCACTGCACGACCACAACGTGAAAATGCCTAATTTCACGTTTTGTGGACGACGTGAACACAAGACAACGACTTCTTTTTAGTTTCCCTGAACTACGATACAGTCTTTTAAAATTTAACTCCAGTAAAAATTGCCAACATTTGAAGAATTGAACGAGGTGGAATAAGCGTGATAAGGTTTGAAGCAGCGCGAATTCACTTTTTAAGTGACGTTTCCGTAGCCGCTCCCTAATGTCTAGAGAAGGGTAGGGAAAGCCCTGAGAACGAGTGGGATGGTAGTTGCCTCAAGCCTCTGTTTCAAAGCGAGGCTAAGTGCGAAGCCATTGATATGAAAATGATATTTTATTCTCATGCAAATAAAACTTATTTCACAAGAAAGGTTTTGCACTTAGCCTCGTTTAGAAAGTGAGATTTTTGGCATATATAACTCAAAAATGGCTTGTTGGCAGCTCATCTTTCAGCACCTTAAACTCAGACTTTTCTTAAGCACAGGAACAAGTTCATAATCTTTCTTTTATTTGTGATTTTATTTAGCGAGCAAAAGACAACTGAATATGGTCCACCAGGGTCCACCTATTCGATTTGAACGACCTTTGTCTCCATTCAATCTCCTCAAATTAACTGATTCATGTACTTAAAAACTCGCTGTAACTTTACATCTTCTGTGTTGTCACATATGCGCCGTGAGCAAAGACCTCACAGTTTAATTACTTCTTCTTTTCAACAAGCTGGCCTTGGATGTAAGTTTAACTTACATCCAAGGCTAGCTTGCTTAATGCTAGAGCAGATAGGTCAAGTCGCCTCTACGAATAGTTCTTTCTTTAGCAACGTTAGTACTAGCAACTAAAAAGCGGCCAAGATGGTTTATGTGTCTGACAAAAGTTCTTTTCTGTCGTTCCTCGGCACAGCTTGTTTGAGAGACCTGCGGTTAAAGAGGAGAAAAACATGGCAATATATCCAGAGTCTCCTAAACTGTTCACAACTGAATTCAATCTTTTAAAGAGGTGTCTGAGTTTAGTCGGTAGGGAGTTAAAGCTTTACGTATACGGCAAACGTCAGATTCAAGTTGAGAATTTCTCAAAATAGAAAATGAGCTGTTAAAAACAGTTCCAAAAAATACTCATGGATAAAAAATTGCGTGAAACTACTAATTTAGGAGTAGAAATAAGGAACAGTGAGCGACAAGTAAAGAGGAAACTTGGTCACGTGGTACAAATTCGCGTTTGACGTTTGACGTAAACATGATACTTTTTTACTTGAGACTAGAGTGGTTAAAACCACTCTAGTCTCAAGTAAAAACGACTGATTTATTTTGACAGGATTTTGACGACTTGAGTGCAGTAGAAGCCATGAAACACTTACTTGCAAGCTTGGTTCGTCAACCACTGTCAGAAGCTGTCTCAACCACAGGTCTACCAGGCTGAGCATCAACAGGCTTTTCACAGAACTGGTCCTCGACGAAATATCCCTTTAATCTGTCATTTCAAAAAGCACAAACTGGTACATGTAAGTGTCACAAAAAGTGTTACTTTGTTTCGGGCATTCGTGATCAATATGAGTCAAAATTTTGGGTCCGACAAAAAAATTAACCGATCTGCGATAATAAGAATTTTTTCCCGAGAAGAAAAAAGGTTTGAATTGTGGAGGATGCAGTTTAAAGATTGCTGAAAAATGTAAGCATAAACGTCGAAGCATTTTTCAACTCTGCCTCCGGTCTGGATGTAACCTCCTTCGCAGCCGTTATTAGGGTCGTCAGGCAACACTCCTCCCCACTAATTAGTGGGAGGAGCGTTGCGTGACGACCCTAATAACGGCTGCGAAGGAGACCAGTCTGGGATTAAACGAGAGATTATTCTCTCTTGATGAAATATAATAACTGAAGAATAGGCAAACATTTAAGGATGAAAAAAATCATGTCATCTTACAAGCTGTCGTCGAAATGTCATATGTTCTCATATATTCTCATCTAGTTTAACTCGAGGTTTCCGAATAGCTTGACTCAACAAATTTCCGTGACAAAACGTTTGCAATCTTCCGAGGTGACATGCAACGAATTTCGGTTTCTAAGGGTATACCAATCACTCTGACTTGGATATATATCTAAAAAATTCCTTCAAGCCTTGTTTACCTAGTGCCATCTTTCCTTGTTAGCTCCCCATATCCGTGCTTCTTGCTGTTACGTATCTCCCCAACATACTTATCGCCGTTTGAATAAACAATCATGTCTTCTCCTTCTCTAGTTATTTCGTTCTGCTCCTCTGTGAATGGTTGCTCATCTTCATCCACGTCACAACAGTCCCCGCAGTGACAGAAAGGCTCACAGTTTCTTAAACAGCATGCGCCGCAACGACATCCTTCTCCGAATTCACACAGTTTAAAGCAATAACACAGGCAACATTTAGAACAAGTAGCACCCATGGTGAAGGTTTGAGGAAGACCTGAGGAAAGCGTGATGTAACATGATAACTTAAACTATTAAAGGACTAGAGGACAAAACAGGTCCTGCAAATATTTGTCCACCCATTTGTAGTCTTTTTTCCTGGTTTTGGGGGGGATCTTTTTCTAGATGGGGTAAGGCCGAAGGTGTCAAGTGGATGACGGGAGAATAGCCCACAATTCTAACATGACTCCGAGGCTTTGGGGTCAAAATTGTAAATTTTTCTCGACTCCATTGTCTCGCAATTCCCAAAACTGGAGACTTGAGCACAAAGGACACCAAACCAAAGACAGAAAAATGACCAGAAAGCCTCAGAGTCATGTTAGAATTTTAAAATATCGAACGTGGACAATTGGGAGAGGTGAGGCCAAAGTACTTGAGGGGGGCGCAATAACCAGGTAGGGTACAGGGGGAGCAAAAGTAAGTGGGATAATAACGATGTTTTCTTGGGCGGAGAGGCGGTCAGATAATCTTCAAGACCAGTGGGAGAGGGAGGAAAAAGGTTATTTTCAAGACCAGTGTCAAATGGTGATGATATGTTCAAAAGAAAAGTATTGAGATCTGACTGTATCCTTCTCCTTAAAACGGTCAAAAACGGAATAAAGCATGCATGCGTAGGTTTCGCCCACTCAGGTATTTCGCAAATCATATTGATGAAAATAACGAAACCACCAAATTTACAATACATTAACATCACACGTTTGCCCCGTCTAACCCCACCTTGCTCCCCTGGAGTACATTACCACTTCATCTTTCCCTCTCACCACCTACCTTTACCACTTCTAGAGAAAGATCGACCCACAAGTGGAAAAAAAATAGTCCAAAAATGATTTTAAAATGATCCGACGGTCCAATAGTCCATGGGTCCAGTGATCCTTTTACCCAAAGCCACTTGTTGGAATTTTTTATTGTTTTAATGCAAGCTCAAACAATAATCATAATTTTATCGGGCAGGTCTGCTGAATCTACTCAGAGCTTCTGATCCACTCAGAAAGTGAGTAGACTGTCTACCACAGCCGATCTTTCAGCGGTTTCCTGTCTTATTATATAGTTTGAGTAGGGCAGTTGTCAGTTGTTTAAGTTCCAAAGCTATTTGTCTGTATAATAGTTCTCTTGTGAGGACCATTACGATTTTAATACTGCGGGTACTTGGAATGACAAATAACTCGACTTACCCCTTGAAATCGCTGTGGGTGATATAGTAGTTTTGACAGGAATTTCTTGCTATCCCAAACAGCAGTGCGATTTTCGCTTTGTTTGACTTTGTTCCGTTGCTTTATAGAACGTCAGTTTCCCTTAAGCTGTGCGCAGATTAAATTATACCATCACTCGGAGTGCGCTAAACAATACAAAGTACTTCCAAAATGGTGGCAAATTAAGTTATTTTTTGTCTTTATGATAATTAGCCCTCAATATCTCGCTCCAAGGAAGTGGTTCAATTGAATTCGGCAGATATAAACGAGGTAAAGACGGCTAATTAACATAAAAGAAAAGTAATATTGCTATCATTTTGAAGTAAGGAGTATATCGGATCTTCGATAGTCTAGCTGTGTGGGCGTCATTGCTAACGAGCTGAAAACCAATGTTCAATGTAATCCACATGGGTTTTTTTGCCTGTCAGTTAAAGCCTTGAACACGATTACGGGGAAGAACGAGTAAGCTCTTTTGTTTGGACAAATCCTGACAAAAGGCCCTGCTTATGCTACGATTAGCAGATTACCATAGCTGCGTATAGTGTTCGAGGTCATGCTTGACGCGCGTCAAGTAGCGGCGGTAAAAGTAGGCCTGAGAATGCTCGAGGAGGTTCTATCTTTTGAAAGAAGTAAAACAAGTTGCTTGGTTGATTACGAAGAAAGCAGATATTGGTGATAATGGTCTCAGGAGAAACGTGCCGGGAAATTAAAAGCAGCCCAGAACTGCAGAGTTCCCTGTAAAATGGTCAGCTTTTCATGATCGCGTTTGGGTGGGGAAATAACGGGTTGATATTATTATATAACTTTATGTTTTTTTATCCCGGGGGGGGGGAAGGAGGGGGGTTGCTCCTGCATGATGGTATATGGTATGGATTTTAAAGGTTTCGATCCTTAAATTGTGTTCGCGGTGTGATCCGAGGTGAGGTACCGAGTCGAAGTCAAGGTCAATAAAAACGTTAAAAAAAGCGAGGCCAATATCCAGCTTGGTTGATAAAGGATTTTAGATGACCAAGAGAATTTTCTCTTGCGAGACAACCGTGGAGAATCCCGCTCGAGTAGCCGATTAGAACACCAGATCCCGGAGGGGTACTCCCCTATAAAAGTGGCAGGGGTACTCGTCTTATCTTTTAGGGGTTTAAATTGGTAGATGGTACCTCTTAGGGTACTTAAATCTAAAATGATTGTTGATATTCTTTATCATTATAAAAATTTATAACAGTACTTTCAAAAAGTCCTTGAAAAGAAGTGTTCAAAGTTATCTTTATTACTGTTAAAATTTGCAGTGCCAGTTATATACTGATTTGTAGTTGATGAATTGGTACCTCTTAGGGGTGGAAATCAGTTTGGGACACGCCCATAAAACAAGATTCTGGTGCCTTTTAGGGGTGTTATCGAATTTCCGACGAGCACCCCTGTTACTTTTATAGGGGAGTACCCTCTCTCCCCGGGCACCAGATTTGCTTTGTCTACCCTCTAACAGAAACAGCCATATAATAATGAAAGTTAAACGGGACATAATGGACACGTTTTTATTAAGTTAACTTCATTTCACTAAAAAATATTTTCATTAGCTGTAGCATTACTGATTCTTAAATTGATCTTTTATACACAGATCACTTAAAGAAAAAGTTTCTGGAGAAAGAATTGCATTGGGATTTTCCTTGAAAGTCTAAATAAATAGCGACAGACAAAGTTTCAAACTTTGCTTCCTTTAATTGCAAATAGTTTAGTTTACTGCAAAACTTCATGTTCGCTTTTAAATTGCATTCAAAGCTTTTATTTCTTATAATATAAAGACGAGCAATTGCTTTAAAATCGACGACAAAAACGCTATTCGAAAGTAGGATAACATTACAAAATTCATTTTCTCGTGAGTCTGGACAACTCACTCGACTACTGCTGAGGCAAATTTGTCAAGAACGCATCGCATTAAAGGACGCTAAATTTTTTGGCTTCAACCCAGCATCCCTCGTTTCAAGTTCGTTCCCAGGGCTTTTCCCTCAGAAATTGGAAGGGGGCCATTTCTGAAGGCAAAATCCTAATAACGAAGTTGTAGTCGTTTCAAAAACTATGTAGACAAAGATAATGCAGGTCTGAACAGAAAAACTTATCAGTGTAGCAAATATTACGTTTTTGTCCAAAAATCCTATTAAACAAAAACTCACGCCTGAGAAAAATATTTTGTACTGGGCCGAGTTGTTCAAAGCTGGGTTAAGATAACCGAGGGTTAGTGCGAGATTTAGATTCAGATTTGAAAGCGTGAAAAGCAGTTAGGTCTTAATTCTTTTGGTCTACAAGTTGATGATTGGAAGCTTTAAAAATAACAGAGAAAATTATCCGAGAAAATGCTTTTGAACAAAAGAAAAAGAAACCCGGGTTAAACGCTAATCGGCCTTCGAACAACCGGGCCCTGGTGTGAGAAAGGAATCCAATGGAATAAAACGGCTTTTCTTTCTCAATACAGTTTCAACGACTAGAAAAACCCGCTCGTTGATCTAACAATTACGGCGAAAGCCAGAATACCGATACTTAGAAGAGACACTATCCTGGCACTTTGGCCCAAAAGTTTTAGCGTAAAATATCTTAAGTTAATTTATAAACAATACAGCACGTTGTTAAACCTCCTTTACAGTCGTTATTTTTCCACTTTTAACAGCCTATGAACAGCTGTAAGTAAACTTCAGTAGATTGCTAACCAGACGAACAAAGCCGACTAATGTAAAATGGTCATTCTTACTCATTAACAAATGAAATTAATTTGAGTATTCTCCCGGAGATTTAGTAAAAATGTCTCGTTCAGGCGTATTATGGATTATATCATACGTAGAAGCTAAGAACCGGTCAATTGTGACCATTGTCAATGGTGGAGTAAGATTGTCCTCCGTTTCCTTCTGACTTGATGCGTTGCTTCTCCTCTTTCCACGCCAGCTCAATAGCTGCTTGGTCCTCTTTTCTTGTACCCCTAACAAAATAAAAAGGCAATTGTAAATACAATGCTTGGCGTTGTCAGAAGCTTCACTGCAGCGATCACGCATGACGCGTTTGCACGATCAAGGTTGCACTAAGAGAGAAAATGATACCACTTCCACCCTAGATGTGAAATTAAATTATCGAGCCCAATCAGTTTTTGCGCTGACCGCCTACCTTGGAGAACCTCCGGGATAACTGCAAGCATGACCCCCCTCCGCCCTCAACCCTCCGAACCAACTTCCTCGCAGGCAGGGGTAAAGGAGACCCCTATCAGCTCTGAATCTAGCCTTTTCCAGGCTCTCAGATAGTAGGGATGACGCGTAAGTGAAAGGCGCCCAAAAATATGAGCCCGCAATCTGGGAAAAAGCGGCGGTGGCCTTCGCGCTTTCTCAATTTCGCGGTCTCGACTATCTCGGAGCCTGGAACAGCCACTACTCTGAATCTGTCTTCTTGCGTGAGGAGGTGAAAACGATGCTGTACTTGACTGGCGTCAAGTCTTTTGATGTCACCGAAGTCCGAACTTCTGGACTATTCAATCTTGTTCTCTGTCGTCAAGCTGGCCACGGTTTTCTGAGCGCAAGTATCCGTTTATTGATTAAGCGATAGTCATTAATGGGCCCGCTGTACCAAGCGCACGGCTATCACGGCCTGGGTTCTAGACTGTATCCCAGCAACAAGCTTAAGCAACAAGGGCACATGCTCAACAAAGATTCATGCGCAGTCTTTCTCGAATACGCCACAATCGGGCAAGTAAAAACCAAGGCTCTAGCGTCTCGTCGACGAGTATCCTTGTATATCGAAAAAATCATAAATAAATTCATCCCCAGGGAACCAAAATAGCCTTTTAAAACTTATTGATGAGTTTAGTATATCACTTGACAAAAATGCCTAAACGTGACCAAACAAAACTGATGCTACATACTCTGTATCGTTAGTGTAACTAGATTGACTCTTGCTAAATGGCCGCGACGTCACAGGGCTTCTCTTGAGTCTTTCGTCTGGTTTTTCACCAACATATTCGTCATCGTAGAAGAATCCAACTGTCCTAGGGAATAAAAAGTATTAAAATGAACTTTAAGGGTCTGGAAGGACTTTTTTCTTCACGGGATACGGGATACAGGATTTGACCGCTAGTCGGGACGCGTGTTCGCCAGCTGAATCTTGGCACAGGATGCGGTAGGAAAGAAAACCGTACAGTAAAACCCCGTAACTAAGAACCTGAATTTTAAGAACCTGTTGGGCTGAAATTTGCCAGTTAAGCCCCCTCTATAAAAGAACCTGTTTGGCCTAAAATTTGAAACAGGTTCTTATTTTAAAAATCTATGAAAAAATTCTAAACGCTTGAGCAAATAAGATAAGTCAACATCACAAAGAAGTGTAGGCGCAGGAAAATTGTGCTTAGGGTGGGGAGAGTGGGGAGCGGACAAAGAAGGTCACTCTCTTGCTAACGTGGAGTTCAAAAGCAAGCTGCGAGCGCCCAAGGCCAACCATGCAGTAACACTACTCATTTAACTGTGATGTCTAAATACATTAAACACAGTTATTTCGGTCTTTCTACGCAATCCCTCTCTAATTAAACTGGTCTTTCAACTTAAGATAATATTCTTTTCGTTACCGTCGGGGCAATTTCTAAGACCGAGGAGGATAAGTTATCACGATAGCACTACACGCATCTGTGGATAGCGAGAGGCATACTACTTCTGAATCAATTAATTGCAGTAAAGTCAACTCCCTCTAAAACGTGCACCTTTGGGACAGCACTATGTGTCGTTCTCAGAGAGATGTCCGTCTTATAGAGAACTAAGCCAGTAAAGAAAGGTAGGGACTAACTCTAGGTGTCCACCATCTTAGCGAGGTGTCCGTCTGGGAAGGTTGCGAAATAAATTACTCTGAATGAATATAATCTCTCCTTTGTCCTAAACGACACCATGCTATTGAGGTGATTCGTTTTTACTTGACGGCAATTGCAATACTAAGATAGTCTTCAATGAAGGCGTGGTTGGCGTACACGTACTGCTCGTCGGAAACTTAAATTGATCGAATTCATTTCAGAAGACCATACAAGAATTATCAATATCCGTCAATATCAACATTTTGAACTTCAGAATCCTCCAGACAAATTTCAAAAATAAATGTATTGATCTGTGATTTTTTAGATACACGAATAAGAGGACTATTGGAGTAGTCACAGCGGTAGGCCTAAACAAATCTAGAATATTATAATTTTTCCGTACTACAAAGATGTTTAATTACTTTAAGAAGATGAACAACAGCATGATTACATAGAGTCCAACAGATTTTCATGACACCGAAATGACAACGATAAAAGCTTGTCACAGTTGGTAAAACTGATGTTGAACATAAAGCGTCCGTAAAACTAATAAGAACTGACGTTCCTCGTGTAATAGGATCCTTTTCTTTTTTATTCCACTTATATGCTTTTAGCGATTACACATGCTTTGTTTATTTAGTTTTGTAAATATCGAGTCAACCTCATGACAAATGTACAAACCTCAAAAAGTGAAAAGCCAAAGATTGGTCACCGTAGAAAAAATCAACTATTTAATTAAAAAATATAAATGAAGATTCTGTGTTGCCATGGTTATGGCAACACAAAGTGGTGGCTGGGGCTGCGGGAGCAGAAAATGCTTTTGCACGAAGATTCAGTTCTTCAATTATTTTACAAAATAGAATTTGTGTTTTTAGTTTTTTTAAGTTTTAGGCACTCTCAGTTGCTGAAAGACTGTGGTGCAATGCCGTATAGATTACTCAACATTATTTTCCAAAGCTTTCCGTTGACGTTTTCATTCCCTCTTGATCTTGGCCAAATAATATCCACTGAAATATGAGACAGTTACTTTCAAGGAACTAAAATAAACCATCAGATAATTCTCGATTTTTATAATGCTGTAACATGACTAAGGCTCGGGCTTGGACTTTTCAATTGCGTATGGCTAGAACGCTCTAGAAGTTGATCAATTTCTCAGTTATTTACTTCATGTTTATATGACGGTGGCTTTTAGAACGAACAAATAGTTTTAAAAAGTTTCTGCGTTCTTCATGGGCTTTAATGAGATATAAAACCGTTCGGAGCTTACGTAAAGCGAGACCTACATATGAACGACTTGAATTGCAAATTCTCGTTGTGATCTGAATATCCAGGGAATACATGAATATTGGTCGATTAATAATCGACAATTTCCGTCGAGATTAGATAAAGTCTTGTTCCTCCAACAAAAACATTTTTCTGTGAGCTTCATTCAATTTAGTGTTTTCTTTCTTAACAAGAAATAATTTAAATCCTCAAATTGAAAAGGAGTAAATCTGATATTTTGGGCATGCTCCCAATAAATTTAGGGCCAGACAGTCACCCGAACAACTATGAAAAAATACGCTAATATCTTCCAGTAAGTTTCTTTTTTTTCTATTTCATCTTTATGGCTTCACTATTCCAGTAAAGTGAAGCGATCTTCGAGTTAAAGAACAAAGCAAAATGTCCGCACATCGTTAATGTTTTAAATCAAATGCAGTTTTGGAGACATTTATTTATAGAAGGTTCATTTAGTAACCCCGTGGCGATTAAAGCTTGCTCTACGCATAAACAACGAATAAAAGAAAAAACAACTTCATTCGAAATACGTTGAATTTGATGGGCGAATGCAGTTAATTACTCGATTTAAATTTGTGTCCGAAACATCTTGAACAACGGCAAGTGTACTGCTTGAACACCTTTTAGAAACACCAGGATGGGCGGAATATAGAATTCCGTTGCCTCTGATCTCAACACTCGTGTTCAATACAAATAGTTGTTTAAAACTGCCGACTGAATAAATTTGTGTTAAGCAGCTAGAGCCCAATATTTCAAAATTCTACTGATCAGTTTTTCTTTATACAGTACTTATTTCAATTTTCACACTACTTTTCGCTGAAGAGAATATTAGGTACAAGTTTTCGATTTAAGTATTTACTTCTTCTTTTTAGCTAGGGTTGACAGGTTTTTAGATTCAAACTTTCGGACGCAACTCCATCAGTTTTTCGATTGTAAGACTCAGTTGATAAACTGTAAGTAGTGGGTTGATAGAAATTTTGGTTAACAATGACGTTAAATCGCCAGAACCTGGGAGAGCAACGATTTTTTAAATTTTTAAGTTGTTGTTTTTTAAAATAATAATTATTATATCTTGGCTGAGCGGGACATATGTGATGGGAATTCTGATAGGTTCTTCAGATGCTCTGATTGGAAACATGAAAATTTTGCGGCATCTGTCAAGATATGGAAATCTATGATATATCCTCTCTTGATAACAGTAAACGAGCTTAAATTAAAAGGCTGGATAAGGGTCGGATAAAAGCTTAACTTACTGTGTGCCATCTTTTTTGACGAGTTCACCATATCCGTGTCTTTTTCCTCGCCGCCATTCGCCCACATAAACGTCTCCATTTGGGTATTTATACATGCCTTCCCCATCTTCAGGCGGTCCTTTGCCAGCCGTCTTCGGATTTACAGGAGAATATTCTTCATCCTCAAATTCATCGCAGCAGTCGCTGCACATCCACCAGTCGCCAAACCACCGCTTACAACAGCGACAACAATAACAGCCTGGGCCACATTCACAGCAGCGACACAAGTGACACTGGCATATCAAGCTCATACAAGACCCCATAATTTCAATAATTTGGCTAAATCCGTCCCTAAACTGTAAGTCTACAAAGTGACGCTGCTGTTCTGTGAGGAAGTCGAAACAAACTCGCCAAATTAGCTCTTTAAAATGCGCATAAGCATACGTTAAGCATATGATGGACGCGGTCTAATAGGTCACGATGCGCGCCCATGCGAATACTTGTTATATTTTCGCATGCATGAGTGGAATTGAAAACAAGTAATGGATAACAGCTTCTAAAGAGGTCATGTCCCACAAGTGTAATTAAATGCCCGGGGGGCACTCCCTTATTTGGCCTATACGTGTATGAGCCGCTGAACAAGGTATGGTTTTCAAGGTCTTGAGTCTTAAACAGGGTATACAATTTAAGCGTCTTGAACAGTGTGTCTTTTTGGACTGGAAACCTTTGAAAGAGAGCGAAGACTTGCGATGTGGCGGTCTACATTTGCAATACCAATAATGATCAATAATTTTTTTCCTCAATATCTATCTCCACGATTTTAGTGTGAAAAATTACTTAATTGTGTATGCAAAACAAAACAAATCAGGGTCAGAAAGTAGTGTCTCCTGCCTTAAACAGGGTAGCGAAATGAGCAATTTTTGTCTAATTAAACAGGGTTGGGGTTTGAAGCCCTCAGCGGCACAGCTCTACCCAGACTTCCCTTGAGTGCCCCCCCGGGATGAAATGCAAGTTTTTCATTCCATATAAACGCCCCTCTCTTCGGCGTTGTTTATTTGAGAATCAGGCTCTTTTCTTTTCCTTTTGTTTCTTTTTTCACGTAAGGCATGTTATTTTCCTTTCTAACATTAACCTTTCAAAACCACTTGTTTTTAGTGAGCATGATTACTGTTTATTGCGCGTATCCGCTGGGAATAGCGTTAGACACAAGGACCAGGCCATTGTACTCGATTATTCAGCTGCTTCTTGAGCACTAACCTACTTTTTTTTCTCTCTTAAAATGTTGTTGTTGTTTTTCTTCAATGTCTTATTTTTATGCAACTGTTTTTTTTTCTTGATTTATTAAAAAAACAAAAACAAAAATTCCAGAATCACTTGTAAAGAAGCAAATACTTTAATTTACAAGCACACGATCTTGTCTTATTAACACCAATTGTCTTAAATTATCATCGATACTTCGTTTTTGTACCCTTTTTAGACATTTGATAGTCCTGTTAATATACATTTACCATCTGATTATATCTTGCAGACTAAACGTGAGATTTAATATGTAATCATGCATGTGTTCATTCTTTTTTTTTTTTTGCCCGACCGACCGACCCACCTTCACGAGAGGGAGGGCGATGGGAAACGAAACATTTTATGGGGATGGTCTAACGAACTGTTTTGCCCGAAAACGTGCCAGCTACTGAAAAAAACAGTAAACACATGATTTGTACGAAATTGTGGAAGCTTATTGGCTGATAGGAATTAGTTTACTGCAGGAGCCCAAAAAATTGCTTCGCCATTGCGAGCCGCAAATATCATCTCCGCCAATCAGCATTTCGCATCGACTTTTTCGATGCAGATATTCAAATTCCAAAGACGTAGTAGCCTGTGCCAGGCTCTCAGATAGTATAGTAGGGCTCCTGTGGGAACGTATTAAAAAGAGCAAAGCGAAAATCCGCGCATTTTTCGCATTTCTTATTACTGAACGACTTTCCACCACCATCTCGGAGCCTGGAACAGGCTAAAGACGTAGTTGCAAGCTCTCCTTTCTTTTCCTGCCCCGCCGCTATAGCGCCCCGGGGAGCTTGCTCACTGGCTTATAAATAAAGTCACCCATCTCGTTTCCCGCCATTTGATCGTGCACCGTTCATATTTATCTGGCGCGTTATCTTCTCTTTTTTCGCTTTCTTTTTCCTTATTTCTTTCTCTTTCTTTTTTACAGCATTTAACTGTTGCAATTTGCGGAACTACGCGTGAACTGCACTCACCCATGAAGAACTCGTTGGTTAATGCTGGAAACTATTTATACGGAAGAGGGGATGAAAAAAATTCTGTTATTTGAGAGGAAACGGGGTTGTCTAGGGAGTTTCAATGACAAAACATTTCTATAAACCGTTTCTACGTTCTTGACGAAAAAAAGCACCAACTCGAGGCTTGGGGTGAAAAATTATCGTGTATTGTGTGAAACTATCCAGCCGATTCTCGACCTTGTTTGATTGTTTGTGCTTAGCCTAGAACCCAGGGCTTTTCCTCAAGAAAATGGGAGGGGCGACCCTTGGGACGAGGTTGTGAGTTGAATGCATAAATGATCTTTTTCCTAGACCCCAGTTGCGTATAAACAACGATCAAATCTAACTGGGCACGCCCGGCCTAATTCTATTTACATTCCATGATTGCGTCTGCACAATTCAGTTCCTCTTTCGTTTTCGCTTTATAACTTTTCATCATTACCCAGTTTCACTAATCTTAACTTTAAGATGACGACCCATGAGGGAGCGGAGAGGTGGCAGGTAAAGAGAGGTACGGTAGCAGAAAGGAACAAGTACATGTTCAACAATCCTCTTTTGAGTGACATCAAGTTTTCCTTTCCTGACGACACGATCATTCCAGCGCATAAATACGTTCTCGCTGTCAGCAGCTCTGTCTTCTTTGCTATGTTTTACGGTGATTTGGCTGAGACCAAGGATACTATTGACATCATTGACTGTGATCCAGACACCTTTCTCAGCTTTTTGTGCTTCATTTATTGCGATGAAGCGATTTTTAAAGACACACACAGTGCTGTTAAAGTGATGCTTCTTGCTGACAAGTATGACGTGCCTTCTCTAACAAGCGAAATCGTCAAGTATATAGACGGAGAAATGAATCCTTCGAGCGCTTTTGAGCTCTTAGCGTTTGCTCGCCAACTTAACGAAAAAGGTTTGGAAGGGCTTGCTGGGAGGTGATTCAATTCCACGCCAGTGCAATTGCTACAAGAGCTTCGTTTCACAATGTTAAATACGATTTGCTGGTCTCCTTTGTTCAACGACGGTCGTTACGCATCGAAGAGACAACGTTGTTCCAAGGCGTAGCTCGATGGGCAGCCAAGAGGTGCGAGGAAGCAGGTGTGACTGCCAGTGGCGGGAACAAACGGAAAGCACTCGGAGAAGACTTATTGACGCTCATTCGATTTCCTCTAATTCAGCCAACACAATTTTCAAGTTATCGACGTGTTCAAATATTTTAGCAAGGTTCCAATTGAAGGCGGGATAAAATTTTCAGTTGATCCAAGGGAAACAAGCACTCACCCCGTTCTCTGCTACTATATATTAGATAGCAAGACAAAAAAATCGCACAGAGACGGACGTTCGTTTGGTCAAAACAGGAAGCTCTCCTTTACAGTGGGCAAAAACGCGTTTTTGTGCGGTTTAGTGTTTATTTTTGCCCGCGGTGATTCGCGCGGTAGACTCCGCCTTTCAATGTTATGTAGAGGCGTGAAAATGAAAGAATTAAGTGCAACTACTCTTGCCAATGGGTATTCTTATCATTATACCTCAACCTACCCTGAAGGCACAACAAACGTGTTTTTTAACAGGCCTGTTCGATTGCAAGCAGGAACTTGTTACACGATTGAAGTATTAGAAGCATCCAGTCGCTCAAACACGTTTTATGTAGATGGCTGCAGTTATTCCATGTCGATCATGTCAAGTTCGTCAGGTGAAAAGGAAATTGAATATTGTGGTGGGTGCTATATAGAAGAGATTCCAAGAAAAGACTGCAAATACAGTGGGTATATTTCCGCATTATTGTATTCAAAATCAAGGTAGTAGTTGCATCATCCGTATCATGCTGCAAAAGAATAGGGGTGATGTTGCCTCCACTACACCACTAAACACACAAACAACTCAAGTGGCATGGGCAAGTCTGTCAGAAAGGCCCATTATACACTTCTTAATTATTAAGTCATATGAACATAGCTGGACACGTGGTAAGGCCCTGAAAAAAGAAAAAAAAAAGACTAATGAAAAAATAGGGACCGTGTACCCCCCAACCTATGGCGTCGTCTTTGGGGTTAAAAAGGCAATCTAAGTAGAATAAAGCCTTAAAGGGGAAGTCTGGTTAAAAGCATTATTTTTCGTTTATTTCCACCCTTTCTCTTAAATATCTAGCCAAGATTTCATTCAATCAAAAGGTGACTCAATTAAGTTACAGTCCTTAGTTCAATAATTATTTGTGAATTTTTGGATGATTTTTCGGATGTTTTTAATGTGTAAAATTTAGGGGGGAGATGTTTGAAATTTGGAGAAAAAGGGAAAATATTCCTGGTTTTCAGTGTCACGCCATTCAAAATAGATCAAAATATAATTCAAATCCGTTCAACAGATAAAGTCCTGAATCTGGGAAATGAAAGGAGGTACATATACAAAGACCCTCGCCAAGATTCAGGGCAGAGGAATATTTCGTATATGAGATATCCGAAGAAATGTTTTACCCAAAATTATAGCCCTGGATGAGCTCCAACATGGCGGACGGAAACCAACAGAAACATCTGTTACCGAGTTTTGCTACAAAAGCGTGAATTCATTCTTCGAGAAACTCATAAACATTAAAGTAATACCTTTTCTAATACACGAACTGTTTAGATAGCAAAATTTCCTGAAATAAGTCATTTTTTTAACCTACATGACAGCTCTCTTGGCGTCATGTAAATGCCAAGTCACGCAAAGCTTAGAAATTCAAGCGTACTCTATCATAAAACCAAGAACCCTTTTGAAGCAAGCGAAAATTTGTATGAAAATTAGTTTTCAGCTGCTCTAACGCATCGTGAAAGTAAAATCTCGGTAGGATCGATAGTTTTTTATTTTGAATTTTAGTGACGTCATGTGAAAACCTACAATTGGATTTGGGGGTTGTTAAAAATTGAAATATAATAAGTTGGGGCGTCGATAAAAGCCGGAACATGGAACATCCGGAACATTCCGGAACATCCCGGAACATGAAAAAATAAAAATAATTTTCATGAAAAAAAAAATAACGAAATAATAATAATAAAATAATTTTTGTAAAAATTAATAACAAAGTAAAATAACAAAAAAAAAGAAAAAGAATGAAATAATCAAGAAAAAGAAACTGGTATCCTCTCTGAGTATGAGAAAACAATATTTTGTCGCAGCGAATTAAAATTTGTTGGGCGAGTGAGGGTTCATGCAAATGACAGTAATGAGTGAAGGCTTGCTTCTAAATTCAAAATATATTAAAATTGGTCGCGAGGAAGGGGTTTTCAAGCTTTCCTGACACAGCCACCTCTTGTAAATGTTTGCCATGCGGTTGAACGGTTATCAATTTACGGCTTTGCGACCGTAAGAAGAGCTTAGGGGCTCGTCGCTTTGGACTTGGATAATTACATTAAAGATTCACATTCGCCGTGAATAGTTGCAGTGGCAGTGGTAGCGCAGCGGTAGTTTCTCACTGTTATCAGTTAGCCTGAATTTTAGTCGTCTCCCCGCAAACTCCTCTTGCGACACGAGGAGACGTCTGAAATATCATGCTGACTGTAAACAGTATAGAAACTACTACGAATGTGAGTATTGTCCACTAAAATCCAAAGACAGGAGCTCTTAGCTATTCTTAAGTTCACAGAGTCGCCTAGTCTGTAAGTAATTCATGTCAACCTCAAGTGAAGCAAAGCACCTCAAGTAAGCAAATGTCGGTTATGTATAAGGAGACTATATGTTGGCTTGACATGAGTTACTTACCGACTTGGCTTGACATGAAATACTGCACCGACATTTCAGACCATCGCAGAACCGTAAATGGATAACCGCCAAATGATTAACTCTCTCATGGCAAACAAATGGACCCTCACTCGCCCAAAAAATTCATTGCGACAAAATATTGTTTTCTCATACTCGGAGATGATACCAGTTTCTTTTTCTTTCTTTCTTTGTTTGTTTGTGCCATTATTTTTCGTTTTTATGTTATGTTATGTTATTTATTTTGTTATTAAAAATTTTTGCAAAAATTGTTTTCTATCTATTGTTCTTTTTTTATTATTATTTATTATTATTATTATTATTATTATTATTATTATTATTATTATT